AGTCTTGGTACGATGTGCGGAAAATTTTGTGTGAAAAATTTGGCCCCGATAGACCCCTCTCAAAGTTTTTAAATTTCCGTCAGGGCGGGAGTGCCACGTCTTACCTTTGGGAGAAAGAAGGGTTCATCCTAAATAATAAAAGGTGGAATTTCGATGATGCAGAAATTGTGTATTGGGTTATCGAAGGCCTCATGCCATACATGAGAATCCTGGTACTCAAATTGTGTCCAAATCCAACCAGACAACTTTTAGAGGCGCTTTTTAACCTCAGTGACGCCGCCGACAGAGACCTGATCTACAACCACAAATTCGATATTGCAGCTGGAAAACCTATACCTGCTGAATTTATTTCCTACTTAAGAAATCTCCTATATGAGCACATAATACCATTCTTACTCAAAAACCCAGAATTTGAAGTCATTGAAGACTTTATAGATACATTACGCATTTCTTTTCCCTTCAATAACCAAGGTTTGACAAGAAACCCTCTAGATTGTCAAATTCAAGGAATTATTGCGGAAAAAGCTCATCCTTCTCAAAAATCCTATAATAATTTCTTCTCTTTTCTACAAGGAACGAAACAACTAAAGCCAACGTTTGGATTGCCGTTACCAAAATTTTCATCACCTACTACCATCCAGAATTCGCTAATGTCAAAGTCTGAAAAGTCTTCGCCTGTTCCAGTTAAAGTGGCTAAAACCGCAGAGACTGTGAGGAAAACAAATACATCAAAATTATGTGGCCGTTTTAATGTCATTACACCTAGGAATTCTAGAGTTTTTCAACAACCGCGAATGTTTGCCAATTTTCAGCCAATGTTAAAACATTCTGCGACACTTTTAAGTGGCATTAATTGCATGAAATTTAGCTTCAATATTCTACCGTCGCCTTGCTCAATTTTATTACCGAAGTGCGTTCCAGAATTGCGACCTTTTCACCCTTTGTCGGTTACGGAAACTGCGTGTCTCACGTCCGAACTTGTGTCACAAAATTCTACGAGCCTCCAGTTCAACTTAACGGAGAGTCCCTCCACTTCATCTCATTTTCCTCGTAAGAATACTGAATTAGTGCGCGAAAAATTACGATCTTTGTTCAAAAAAGTTTCCAGATTTTTCAAAATTGTGCCGCGTAAACGTAACATAAAGTCTCGGGAGTGCCACCTATCCCGGAAATGTAAATTTAAAAATCACCACGAAAATTTCCCGAAACCGCAGTTTTTTGTCAGTTTTTTGCTCTCTTGGACTTTTAATTACAAAAATTTCAGTGGCTATCGTAAAAAGTGTTATCATCTGAACTTACCAACATCACGAAAACGGAAAAAATGTTTATTTTCTTAGGTAATCACTAGAAATTTTCCTTTAATCGTTCTTCTCATCAAACATGTAGAATCCTTTTAATTAAACCTTCTCCAGCTTTTGGGATTCAAAGTTTCCCATCTGCCTGTGTTCGCATCTGCCAACAATTACTGATGTGATGAACCTGACTGCACGATTTCTGTCTGAACTTATTACCAACTCAATTGACGTATTCCGCATTAGGAACTTCGTATTCCGCATTAGGAACTTCGTATTCGAACTTCGTTACTTCTGAACTCAAAAAGACTTTCAATTTCGCCATTCTTCAGTGTAAACGCGTTAGTAATTAAGAGAATTTCCTATCATTGACGAGTGATTCAATCGGTATGTAAACACCTTTTCTTTTCTATACGTAGATGTAGATGCATTCCTTAATGAAAGATAATACGCCTGAAAAATCGAGCTGAACTAGAAGGAGGATTTAATTAAAAAGAAATACCTTAAATTTAAAGTTTAAGAACCTAGTTTTAATTAATAATATTCCTTATTAATACGCCAAACGGTGAATAGCCGAAAACATGTCTTTGTAGGGAATTATGTTATTTTGACCTGCTAAAATTACGCCGTACAATTCAATGAATTTGCGAAATGCATTATCTAAAGTTCAAAATTCAACCAACTGACATTGTGCATAACTCAAGAAATTTTATCAAAAGGCATTTGCTTATGATAGAACTCGTAAGTACGCCAAGTACGCTATAATTATTTAATCTAATTCCAGATTTAATTGCTTGCAAAAATTGGTTTAAACCCAAACAAAACATTTAAATAATGTAACCCCTCGGAATCTGATGCTCCCATGGTAATTATTTTTTTAATTTTAGATTTTCCTTTAGCTAGATTTGACTTTGATTAACATTAATTATAAGCAGCGTAAAAATGGGACGGCCTACGTATAGGGCTCCGAAATTTCTTTTCTCTCGCTTTGACAAAACTAGAAGGAGAACGCCTTCAGCCGAGGGCGGCTGTCGATAAGGAGGCGGGAGGGAGAATCCCCATGTTGATACAAAATTGCCAATGTTTTTTTCAAAGCCTTACGAAGTATGATTTACCTTCCATGTTTGGTCCCCCCCCCCCCCGTTTTGCCTACCTCCTCTTCCCCCATTGCAAATTTTCCAAAAACTGTTTATAGATATTTTTTTGCCATACTGAATTATTATCTGAGCAGTCCCCCAGTTCTTTGCCAATCGTCAAAGATTATTTCCAAATTCAGATCGGTATTTGAGGTTCTTTTTTAGGAGAGTTTATGACTCGATATAACAATAGGCTACTTTTCACAAGATCATTTTTCATTCAAATTAGAATTTTCGAAGCACTGCTGAAAGTCTTATTATTTAAGTTTATCGTATTCTATTCATAATTATTTTAAGTTTTAATATAAATTAAGTAAGCACCAGAACCAGTTGAAAATTGACAACCTTGTTCATATCGTGTGAAATCCATATCCATAAGCAAAAGAAATGTAGGCTGAGCATTGAGCAGTTTCCAATTTCATGTTTGCTCCAGTTCAGCTTCAGCGCAAATTTCGATGTATTCTATTTTTTCGTTTTTTTCAAGCAAATTCTCACGACACACAATTTCCTTTTGACGTCCATCCTATGTAAGTGAGAAGTGCAAACACTGTTGCCAAGTTTCAAAAATTTGAAGCACTAAAATTTTTGTGCGACCTTTCCACAATTTGGGGTGATTTTTTTGTATTTATTGTCATGTATTTATTTTCTTTTCAAACCATACTAAGCTTTCCCAACATTTCTCAAATAGTTAAATGTTTGAGGTGGAGTATGTCTGGAAAGGCTATATTCCGGCATCGAGGCAACAAGGTGCTGATTTTTTCTCTCGTTATGCAGCTGCATCTCCTAGCCAACCGAGTCGAGACCATTGCAGACTCAGCATTTTCATTGTTCTGTGCTCACTGATACCCATCATGTTATATGTCATGTAATACCAACTCGCGACTTCCTCGCGGAGTACTTGTTGGAATCACTGCCGAGTATTTTCCGATCAACTGATGGCGTCTGGTCAGCGACCCTTCCGCAATTTTTAGTCCCGACGCCGGGGACGGCGTCTGAAGAACTAGGAGGGATGCAATGGATTGAGCAGTAGAATCCACTAAAAAGTTGGGGAAGAGTCGCTGAGTAGACTCAATCACCTATGAAACCATATTGCTAAGACGCAGAGTCTGGGTTGCTGCCTGCATGGGAAAAACAAGCATCGCGGTTAGAAACGGTGCTCTGTGTTTCCTGTCCAGACAACAGCTCAGCTGAAAATTGCAAGGATGAGACAAAGTGATGTCATACAGAGTCTTAGCTCCTCGGTTCCCATGTGAACGCAGTCATCCCGGAAAATCAGAGTCCCGTGTAAGGCCCTGATTGGCCCGGAGGATTGGGCCGCAGGGGAGAAGGGAAGCTAAAGCCACGCTACTCGCAATTTTCAGAAAATCTCTGAAATCAGTCTCGTCTTAGCTCACCAGCGATCCTGGCCAGGCCGCGAATCGGCCCGCCACGCCGTGTCTAAACGTACTCCGCGCGGAAGCCGCGTGTAGGTTTGAGAGAGTTTCGAGTGTGGTTCTGATGGTGTTCTGATTCTTTCTGTTCTTAGTGTGATGAGTCTATAGAAAGTATAGAATAAAAGTGTCGTCGAAATTGTCTGCAAGAAGTGTAGTTCGTTTTGTCACTGTGCCCTACCTACTTTTCACTTCGAGGAGCAGCGGAAGGCTCCTCGCCCCTTTCTCCCCAAAAATTCATACTTCCGCTGGTGGAGCTACCCCCCCCCCCCTTTGGAAAGAGATCGAGTGTGAGTGTGCCTTCTCTTCTCTTCTTCTCTTTCGCGCGTTCCAAATGGTGCGCTTCCCTCCCTCTCTTTCGCGCGTTCCACCGTCCTGTGTTTTTGCTTGTCAAAACGGTCGCTAGAAGCGGTTAAATCGTTGCAAAAGTGATTTGAAAGTGTACAAGTGAAGTGATAGTCATTTTGAAAATTCTACCACGATTTGAAAGGTAAGTGTAGGTGCTTAGAACCTTTCTTCTGAACCTTTCTTTGCGTCACGACCGTCACGCCTTTTATTTTATGAAGCGTGATATTCGGAAAAATCTTTGTGCCCACTTTATGGTCCTTCGTACTAATTACAAGTTTACCAACTTTCGATATTGTACCTCATTGCTGTTGAGTGCACCCGCCGTTTTTGTTTAAAATTTGTCACGACCGTCGCACCCCATCGGATATTTAGTGTGACGATCGTGTCTTCTAGACGTACTAAGAGAAAAAACTTTCAATCCAAAATAACACAGTTGAATTTTAAGTTTTTGGGAGGTCAAATTGGACAGTTTTCGTAGAATTACCCAAACGATCCTTAAAAGAATAAATCTTTCGTTGAATGAATTCTTTACAGGCAAAAAAATTGCTATGATTAGACTCTTTGTGGCATTACAAGCACAGAAGTTAAACTATTATGAAAACAAATGCTTTTATGATTGTTTCATGGATCCTGGTGGATCTTGCACAATTTATTTTTCATCACAATCATGAGAGCTGAAAATGGAAGAGACTTTACACTCAAGATTGTCGACAAATTATATCAGACAAAAAAAGTGAGCTACATCAGGTTTATTCTGAAAATGGAAAGAAATCTGTGAGTTTTTATGTTGTTACCTGAATCGAGATGAGCGGTAAAAACATGCAACACCCTCTGAAACCTGCGCACCTTTTTTTGTAATGACCCCTTCGAATTTCAATGATTTGAATACTGGTTCAAGGTCGCTTTGATATACTTTCAAATCGACCTCTTGTAAACATAATAAGTCCGCGTTGTAACCTGATAACGCGGAGAGAGAGAAAAAGAATAAGAAACAATGCACAAACTTAAAGACGTTATGTATAAATTATATAAGGAGAGCATAGAATCATTCCCTTCAGAATGAACCGAGAAAAACGATAAGTATTCACGGGGCTAGGCATACTGAAAATGTACAAAATAAACTCATTGGTGAGAGCCCACTGTTTACAGTTTACAATCAGTCAATCAAAACTCTCTCCCGAAGAAAAAACCAAAATCAAGAAGGGTAAAATAGCCCACTGAGAACTTTGTGCATTTGACAAACTATTAGAATTTTACGAAATTACCTCTCTCCTTTTACATACAAAACTAAGATACTGGTAAAAAAAAATTCGGCGCACTAGGAAAATTTTTCCATCGTTAAAACTGAAATCACTCCCTTGTTCACTTAAACTCAAGTGTACTGTGGTTTTTTGTGGAGAAGGGAGTTTGAATTAAAAAAATGAGTTACTTTGTTGATGGCCAAAGTGCAATCTCTGTTTGTAATGTTGCAGACTTCCTGTCAGACTTCATTTTATCATTGGAAAATTAGTTAATGTAATTTCTTGAAAACTTCCTTGATTTTTCTTCTGTTAGTAGAACAGAGTCTGTACAAATTTCAAGCTATAAAGTTGATTTGTTCCTTTTTGAAAAAAAATAAACTAGGCTAGTAGATTCTGAAACATCACAGTTTAGGTGCCGCACTCTCGCCATCGATATTCTAACTTCTTTCTTTCTTGATGTAGGTGCAATCATGTTACCTTAAACTCTGTTAAGTGATTACTTTATATCCGTTTCTGCTTGCCAATTTCAAAAGTTTACACTTATTTGTTTCTTTTTGTGTTGATCCTGTCTCATGGATTGAATTTGGAATTTTTCAATTTAACCAATGTACAAGAAATTTTGATGAGGAAAATTGTACAGCTTGATTTCTTACCATGTCTTGTGGGTCATGTTTACACTGTTTTCATAGGGAAGATGGTTAAAACGTTTCATTTTTAGGACACTTGGACACTTCATAAAAAAGGGTTTCCTTTTTTTTCTTTTTGGCAGAATTTTTGGACCAATATGTTCCAAAATTGCTGGCTAGGAGATAGGATTCTTGTTATTTTTCGAGTCAGGAGAGAGATTCTCCTCAATATTTACGTGGACAAAGAAAATAATTTTGCCATGGCAACTTGATTCATCACAATCCAATTGATGGTTGCTGGAAGGATACTGACCCAGAACAAATGGTTGCCATGGAGACTGTCTTTTGACAACGGGTAGCACTGTTGAATTTTAATTATTTATTGTGTATTGGAATGGACAAATGAAGAATAGATATTGACAGAAATAGTTTTTGAAACAGAAAACTTGTCTACAATAGGGTAAAAATTAAATACGGATGTGGGGAATATGGGGTTACAGGTCACTTTGAAAAAGCGGTAAAGTTCCGTCATTTTTCTTGAAGCATTTCTTACGCTCTCTACAATTTTAAGGAAGGAAATATTTAGAGACCAAGGATCCTGAAACTAATACTAACACTCAGGATCCCCCAAAAACTTTGAAAAAATACTTTTCTTACTTCTTGTTAAACAATTCAAAATTCTACAATTTTATAATCTTCCATTGTAAATGATTTTTCAAAGATATTGAATGCTCCATCTTTATTTTAAAATAGATTTTTTGTAATCTTTCATGCTATAATATTTTCCAACTGTTTGAGTTTTTGACATAGCACCAGTGACATAACGTCAACTATTGCATGGTTAATGCTTCTAGGTAAAATGATCTGAAAAATCTTACCGACTAGTTCTTTGACAATCAGTAACTTGCGGTAATCTATCTCCAGAGCATATTTTGGACAATAAGGGAATAGAGAGTTCTGAGCCACATCTGATTTTGCATACAAATCTGCAAGGATGTTGTAAGATACTACTCGAAAACTGAAAGCAAAGACAAAGGAATTAATTCATTCTACGCTTGGTCCTTCTTCCTTGTCTCATTACGTCATGTAACTAACTTTCTGTCAATTTTATTTTGATAGGAGAAACAATTGACTGTTTTGACAACCTAGGTATGTGAAATTTTGCTAGATTTTTTTTCCCTTCAAGAAAATGTTTCAAATATTACCAGTTTAAAAATTCCCCACAAAAATACGTTACATTGCTGTTTGATCCATTTCATCAGAGCAAAACGATTTCCTGGAATCATCTAAGAATAACTTATTGCCAGGAAAATAAAAGCTAAAGATAAAAAAAGAGAAAGAAAATTTTGCGAATCAGCATTTAAGTTACATCAGTGGTGAGTGATCGGTTGAAAATTTCTTAAGGATAATGTAAGCAAGATTGGTTTCAAAATTGACATACCTGCTACATGGTAAAATTTCGGATGTAAATTTGTGCCTCAGTTCAAAAGGACATGTCCCTGGTCCAGCTTCTACACGCTTTTGTGAGACAAGCGAAACGGAGGGACCAACTCGGTCACCCGCCTTGGGTGTACAATCCAATTTCACATAGTGTCCGATGTCTGATGGCGCTGGTAAATATACGAATCCCTTTCCAGTTTGCTGAAATGAGCACTGAGAGGGATGTTTTTTCGTGTCTTCAGTGGAGATAGACCACACAAAATCGCACTCTTCTTTGCTCGTAAAGCTTGCATCAAATTTCTTTGGATACACTGGGAATCCAACAAGAAATGTAGTAGGAATTGCTAGACCATTTATCCATGGCGGGTTGATAATAATTTTGTAATCAGTGCCTAATATCCTGGCGCTTAAATTTGGGCTCTCCTTTTGAAAAAAACACATTGTTACAAGTCAGCTCTGGTGGGACTTCAGTGCCTCCATTCAACACCTTGACATTGATGTCTGGAATCTCTACACCGGCCCATTTTTTTACTTTCCTTGCCACCTTGTAGGTAATGCTTTTTTCAACATTGCGTGAGATACGGTGCGTTAAGTCTCCGATGGTTTCAGTGCATCTTCGATTGAGATTGAAACTACATTGAATATTCGGTGATTCAAATACTAACTCAAAGTTTACCCTGAATGTATCTGCACCTTCACTGAGTCGGATAAAAATTTTTTTGCTTGACATTTTGGTGAGGAGGCTGGAGGCGTTGCAGATAAGCTGCTCCAAAAGTTTCCCTTTTGGCCTCAGAATAGGGATAGAGTTGGGGATTCTGGTGAAGAACATTACAAGCTGGAAGAGGGCCACATAAAATCCTGAAAAAATAAATTTTGAATAATTTAGATTTGAATGTAATGAAAGGGGTTTGGAAAGATACCCCCAGTAGCATTTCTCAACGGAAAAATCGCTATATATTGCGATTTTATCGGCGATAAAATCGCCAAGATCGTCAACATCTGAGCGATTATCCTCAATCTTATCGCGATAAAATTGCGCTTCTATCTCCCGACAATTCATCGCGATATTTTCGAAATAAAAATCGCAATAAATGGCAATTTAATCTCGATTTTATCGACGAAAATTGATCACGATTTTATCGAACTAAAAATTGCGATAAGTAGCGATTTAATCGCCATATATCGCGATTTTTAATGCGATAATATCTTGATTTATTTTCACCGATATAATCGTGATTAGGGTCATTCCACGTCAACTCAACTAGGCTCGGTAGCCGACCCCCTCTGATTTCGCTGAAAATTGGTATACGGGGTCTTTACATCATTCAAAGAAACTAGGATTCAGAGCCTCAAAATAGGTAAGAATCACTTTATCTCGTCCGGGAGACATGGTTGTAATTTTTTTGCTTGTTGAACAGTGCTATTGCCAGGGAGTACTTGATACTCCCAAATTCGATAATAATTAATATATTACACATACATACAAAGCCGCATTTATGGCGCTCTCTGGCGCTCTGCGACGCCTAATCGCCACAAAACTCGGTCTTCCCACAATCGATGAGGGAGTTGACAATCCCTCAACTCATTTAAAACCCCCTGTCGCCACCCTCTCACTGGGCGTTCCCTTCGTCTCCTCCCAGGAGAAACCCAATCAAGCATCTTCTTCGGCTGTCTTTCGTCCGTCATTCTATTGACACGACCATACCAGTCATGCTGTCTGATCATGACGTCGAATACGTTGTCATTTTCGACTCCCTGATCTGACGCACTCCTTCATTGTGGACCCGATCGCTCCTAAAAATTCCTACAGCGACCTCCTCCAGAAATCCATCTCCGTAGCTCTGAGCATCCCTTGCGTCCGTTCCTTCAGCTGCCAAACTTCACTGTCATATGAAGAACACTTTTGACTACAACGTTGTATATTTTCATCTTGTTCTTTATGAAAATCCGCGGATTCCATTGAACATCGCTGTGGCCTTCCTTGCTGTTTCTTTCCTTGATCCCTTGATCCGTTCTTCTATCCTGGGTCAACCGCACCCCCAAGTACCTATAGTGCGTGCAGCCTTTCATCTGCTGCCCATCCTCCAACTAAATGCTTTCCTGATCACCTCCCTACGTCAGTTTCTCGGATTTCCTGATGACCAAGTGGTGATTGCACAAGATCAAGATGACGCCTTGTACATGATGCGCAAGTTGGTAGAGGAGTATCGAAAGTGGGGTTTGGAAGTCAGTATATCCAAATAATTACTATTCAATAATTTCCCGGACGAAATAAGGTGATTCCTACGTATTTTGAGGCTCTGAATCCGGAAACATCCGTTCTTTCCCATCACCCTACAATTCTCCGGAAAAACTTATTCCGCCCGGAAAATGGTCATTATCCTGGTCAGTTTTCCGGAAAACAGAGAGGTGATTTGGAAGAAGAAACGCAATTTTCAGATTCAGTGGTTCAAAACACATCGGAATAGATCTATTGCGTATCTGAGAACAAATTTACCCACATTCTGCAGGTGTACCGGTCCTAAAAAAACCAATGATGCTGATTATAGAAACTGACCCAGAAAATGATTTTGATTAGAGTGTTCCTAAACACTCTGAATCAAAGTGACTGCCGAGTTCGGCCTTTGCATGGTCCAAATCAGTACAATTAGGCATGAAATGTTTTTGCCCCTATTTTTTTGGAATCTGTGACCTCGAAAACAGATATCTAGGGTGTTTACTCCTCTCTTTGCTCCGCATTTGACGTTTTGGCCACTAAAGAGCCAAAATCGGCCGCCATCTCGGATTTTGGGCATTTCCGTGGGTCGAGGGGCCTGTATGACAATTTTTATGGAATCTACGATCCCAAAAACATGAGAATCGACACCTCTCTTGACGTTTTGTGCCGTTTTACTAACATTTCAATTTCAGCCTCCATTTTGGCCGCCATCTTTTTTTTGGGGACTTGGCATCAAAATCGCAGAGTCCACCAAAGCTTTTCTCATTCTAGGGACCAAACTGAAGAGAGTAAACTTGCATCACAAACGTCCAAACGGGACGTAATTTTCGAACACGTGCTCCCCTGACTGTGCAATAAATCGCCTTTTCCCGTCATTTTTTGAGCATTTCCGGCCGGTTTTAATTTCCGTTTAGATCCGTGCCCCATCGATGCACGTTAGTAAGTATTTAGTGCTCAAAAGCATATCGACGGTGTAAGTCGGCAATCACATAACTTGGTTTGCAACGTCGCAGACTTCCTGGCATACTTTATTTTTTTAACGGAAAACTACTCAACGGCAATTCTTTAAAACTGCCGTGATTTTTCTTCTCAGGGTAAAAAAAGGTCTGCATAAACTTAAAGGAATGGTGTCAATTTGTTCTCCTTTAAAAAAATATTATAGAGGCGGAGATTTTCAGACACCGCAAACGAGTTATGTGATTGCCGACTTACACCGTCGATATACCTTAAGGTTGAAATAGAGAGAGAAAATCAGAAATCGCAGTTACAATCCACGGAATGCATCTGTTACGGTGTGAAAAATCGTCTTTTTGCGTCAATTTCGAGGATTTTTGGTCGGTTTCCATCAGGCCGTTAATCGATCGGTGAATGTATGGAAAGCGTTGGTAGTCTGATTTTATACATCTTAAAGGGTAAACTAGGTGAAAATATCGATAATTGAAGTGTTCAATATCGAAATGTTAGGATTAACATGTAAAAAATCGTCTTTTTTAACCAATTTTTACCCGTTATTGGCCTATTTGAATTTTATAGGCCCTTGACCGTCCGATGGCAATTAAAAAAAGTATATCAACCAAAAGTATATATCTTGAGCTTGAAGTATTAAAAAAAATCGAAAATCAGAGAGACCGTATTTTGGATAATTTAGTTTGAACAATGAAAGGCGAAAAAATAGTAAATTTTAAAAAACACTAAATTACGGCCATTTAAATACTTTTTGGCTCAATTTCGATGGCATGTTCAGAATCTACATGAAAACGTGGTTTAGAAATACTCTTTCAAAGTATGATGGATTGATACAGAGTCTCGCTATGGAGAGTCAAAGAGAGGGAAGTCGAATAAATGAGAATTGCTAAAACAAGCTTTTTTGAATATCGCTAAAATTCACCCCATCTTTGGGGGTGAATATCTCGCGAACGGAGCGTCGGATGGGAAAATCCTTCAAAATTAGTTTCTTTGAGTGATGTAAAGACCCCGTATACCAATTTTCAGCCAAATCCGAGGGGGTCGGGTACCGAGCCTGGTTGAGTTGACGTGGAATGACCCGATAACCAACCGATAAAATCGCTATTTATCGCGATCACTGCCACTTGGGTACTGCTTTTTGAAAAAAGAACCAATCAATGGACTGAGAAAACTTTTCTCTTCGACTACAACACGGCAAAACTTTGAATAGATTCATCCAATTCACACTTCTTGAGCACCAAAAATCAACCTGTTACTCTTGCAAGTTTAACCTATCAATGTTTGATGATTCAATGATTACTATTTCATGGAAGAAATTGTTGCGATAAGAGCGACTATCATATCATCTTGATCTAGATCAATTACTTGATTGCAATATGAAGCTTCTGGAACGTTCTTAATTTTATCTTTGTATTCTTGCTATTGTCTCTCTGTAATGTACTGCTACTGACTAAAATAAACTGAGTTTATCTTATTCGCAAATAAGCATCTTTATTGCCGTATCTTAACATGGTAGCAGAGCGCGATCTTTAGTTTAAAAAGTTATTTTTGGACCTTTGTGGCGACGGAGTTTACGATTTCAAAATTTGGACTTTTTCGTTTTTGACTTGAGTTTTTTCGATTCTGAATTACCGACTAAGTTAACGGACCTGTGTGGCCAAAGAGCCATGCACAAAAAGGGCCAAAAACGGCCCGTTTTAGGGCCCTCAAAATTGGGGTCGAAGTGAGGTTTTTTTCATCCTTGGGGTGACCCTTTATACATACTAAAATTTCAGATTGAGTATACACACCGTTTTCAAGTTATGGGGGGGGGGGGGCAAAGTCCCCGATTTTCACCCATTTTTGCAGGTGTTTTAATGTCAAACTCCGGCTGTTACGAGGTACCAGATCTAGATATTGAAGCGCGGTTTGCGGTGATTTGTTCAGCTATTCCTGTAGTATTTTTCCACATCTTTCACAAAGCCCCAAATGGTTTTTCGGGGGCGGGGAGGGGGGGCTTTATTCATACTATCATGACCGTTAGCGCATCTTACTGACTTTACTTTGTTCTCTTCTCTCCACGCCGCGGTCATGGTGGTATTTTCTGTTGGGGATTTTCCTTCTTCTTTACATTGTACCAATTTTAACGTCCACCCCCCTTTTCCCCTTTTTACCCCCTCCCCCGCAATTCAAACACTTCCTCTCAAGTGTTTCTTCCTGTAAGGCAAATATGACGGGGTCATATGTGGGGGATTATTTTTCTTTCTTTACGATTGATAAACTTTGACCCAACTTACTTCTTCCTTACAGGGGTTCGGGCCCCCCTTACCCCTGTATTATCCCCCCGCTGCCCACGCCACTTTACTTGAAGTATTTTGCTCCCTCCGCAGCATAAATGACGATGTTTCTGGCAAACAATTTTTTGCTTATGTATAGGTACTGAAATACTGAATATATGGGAGCCACCCTCCTACTCTTCTCCATTATTCCCCCTCTTCTTCCTCCTCCCTTTCCCCTCTTTTGCCTAGTTCTCTTTACTTTTCACTTTTCTTCTACTTTTTACTACTTTTTTCAATAGAGAATAAAAGAATAAAGAATAAAATAAAAGGTAAAAAATAAGTAAAATTAAAAAACAAAAAAATAAAATAATTAACTTTAAAAAAAATAAAAAATAAAAATGAAAAAGAATAAAAAA